GAATGGATCTCCCGATCAGCTGGGGATGATGCGTCTCCTCCTAAACTGGGCAGAATGGGTGTCCCGCTCAGCTGGGGAGGATGGGCCTCCTGCTAAGCTGGGGATGATGGGTCTCCCGGCCAGCTGGGGATGATGGGTCTCCTGCTAAGCTGGGGGGGGGAGGAATGGATCTCCCGATCAGCTGGGGATGATGCGTCTCCTCCTAAACTGGGCAGAATGGGTGTCCCGCTCAGCTGGGGAGGATGGGTCTCCTGCTAAGCTGGGGATGATGGGTGTCCCGGTCAGCTGGGGAGGATGGGTCTCCTGCTAAGCTGGGGGGGGGAAATGGATCTCCCGATCAGCTGGGGATGATGGTCTCCTCCTAAACTGGGCAGAATGGGTGTCCCGCTCAGCTGGGGAGGATGGGTCTCCTGCTAAGCTGGGGATGATGGGTGTCCCGGTCAGCTGGGGAGGATGGGTCTCCTGCTAAGCTGGGGGGGGAATGGATCTCCCGATCAGCTGGGGATGATGGTCTCCTCCTAAACTGGGCAGAATGGGTGTCCCGCTCAGCTGGGGAGGATGGGTCTCCTGCTAAGCTGGGGATGATGGGTCTCCCGCTCAGCTGGGGAGGATGGGTCTCCTGCTAAACTGGGGATGATGGGTCTCTCGCGCAGCAGGGGAGGATGGGTCTGCCTGCAGTCGCAGGGGCCGAGCGCAACCCGGGCCGAGCGAAGGGAGTCGCGACCCCGGCGGGCTGACCTGCTGGTACTGGGGGTCCTCCGGCCGGAACTCGTCGGGTGCGGCCTCCCAGCTGAGGCTGAAGTGCGGCAGGCGATGCAGGAGGTTGACCCACCAAGGCGGCGAGTAGCTCACCCCCGCCGCTGCCGCCTCCGCCATCCCCTCCCGGCTGGGCAGAGGGGCGCCCGTCGCCCGCAGCTGGCAGCGCCGCTTCAAGCCCGCCCGCCGCCGCCGCCGCCGCTCCTCCCTGCGCTTCCTCCGGCCGCTGCTCCGGCCATGCGCCCGGCTGCGCTCCGGCCGCCGCCCCGCATGGCCCCAGCGCCCCTCTGCCCCGGCCGGCCGGCGCTCTTTGTTCGCCCGGAGCCTCGCCTGCGCCGCCTCGGCCGACGCGCCGCCCCCGCCGCCTGGCACCGCCCGGGAAGCGGCAGGAGGAGCGGCGGGAACAGGAGGAGGAGCTCAGCCCAGCGGCGGCAGGCAGAGGGGGAGAGCCGGACGCCCCCGCTCGCCCGCCCGGCCCGCCTGCCTTCCCTCCACGCTGGGTCTGCGCCCGTCGGCGGCGGGGGGAAGGAAAGGATGGCCAAGAAAGCACCTTTGGAGGGGGGGCTCTTCGCAGTCCCCCCCTCCGGCGGCTTTGGCAAGGGTGCCCGAACGCCTTGCTCGACTTGGGCAGGAGGAGGGAGGAGATGGTCTCTTAAGGTCCCTTCTTCTTTCCCACCTCCCTCTTTTGCTCAATGTTTGGATGGGCCAGTAGAGCCCAGTGATGCCCCCCCCCCCCCCGCAGATCTCCTCAATAGCAATAGCAGTTAGGCTTATATACCNTTACATTCCCCCCCCCCAAAAAAAGTCGAAACCCTTCCTATCAGCTACCCCCACACTCCAACTGTTGACAGTAGCAGATTGATAAAAAGTCTTTCTGTGGAAAATGGAGGTTGGGGGGTAAAAAAAATATATCGGAAAGTTGAACTCTCCGTTCCCTTAAAGTGGGACAAGGAGGTTGGAAGAATTGACAGAAAGCAATGGATTTTCCAAATATTAAATTGCAAAATGTAATTCAGCCTAAAAAGTAATTTCAACGTTGTAGGAGGATAACTCAACACAGCAAAACTATCATACGATAGTTTAAGTCACGTAAACATTTTAATGGGACGCGGGGGGAGGGGGCGGGCTCAGTGGCTAAGACGCGGAGCTTGCCGATCAGAAAAGTCAGCAGTTCGGCGGTTCGAATCCCTGGCGCCGCGGAGTGAGCTCCCGTGACTTGTCCCAGCTTCTGCCAACCTAACAGTTCGAAAGCACATAAAAATTGCAAGTAGAAAACTAGGGACCACTTTTGGTGGGAAGGTAATAGCGCTGGCTCTTCAGCTATGAATCAAGATGAGCACTGCCCCCTAGACTCGGGAACGAATAGTACACATATGCGAGGGAAACCTTTATCTTTTTAACTCAGCCCAAAAAGCAATTTCAACATTGAAGGAGGATAATCAAGATGATAGTTTAAGTCACATAAACTTTAAAAAAAACTTTTATAAGTTTTTTTTTTTAAATAATGTCCAGGTTCGTAACGGCTTTCCCTTAATAATCCAACATCATTTCTCCAGGGACAGTTTTAAAGTCATTTTTCCTTCAAGTCTCTCCTCCAGATCTGGCCAATATTTTGAACCTCTCCAGCTCTCCTCAGGGGTTCTCGGGAACTGTCAAGGGTGCTGAAAAGATTCCTTAAAAATCCCTGGAACGCAATTGCAATTCCCAGGATCGTTTGCGAGCAAGGCGCAGCGGCGAAATAAATCTGAAAACAATTCAAATTTATAATCTAGAGAAGTTTCCACGCCAGCCAGCACAACGATGAAAACAGATACAGCTGGAACAGGTTCCTCACTCCAGATCTAATTCCAACTTTTGGGGAACCAGCAAGTTCAGCGGATAAAATCACCGATGAAAATTCCAGAAGCAGGAATAGGCGAACCGTGCCAAGAAATAAAGAATAATATGTCTGAAGTTCTGTTCCTGGGGGTCTCTCAACCGAAGGAGGGGGGAAAAAACCGCGGCTCGGTGGGGAGTTTTTTATGGCGAAGTTTCCATACCCAGAACTAAGAAAAGGAACTCAAAAGAGAAGCAAAGATTGGAAGGCAAAAACAAGCCATCTTGGGGCTTTTGCAAAATAACGTCCTGGTTTTGTTTCTTTAATTTGCACCCCACATTTCTGCAAAGTAGTCCTGACAACACTTCCAACTCAGCGGTACCCTAACTTAGCCTAAAGAGAGGCCCTTGGTTGGCTCTGAGTTTATTTGTTTCCTTGCAGACGTCCCATGACCCATTTAAGTAATATCATCAGGGCTAGAACGGGCTTGTATATAAGGAGAGAGCAAACTCCTCCCTCTTCTAGCACTGATGATGTTACCTAGGTGGGTCATGGAATGCCTGTGAGAAAACAACCAAGCTCAGAGACCACCATGGACCACACAGTCTTCCTCCCCCTCCTCCTCCCTGCACACCCCACTCCCTTCTAGCACTGATAATGTTACGTAGATGGGCGATGAAACATCTGCAAGAAAGCAACCCTGCTCGGAGAAGACCAAGGACCTCATAGTCATTGTCCTCCTTCTCCTTCTCCTCCTCTTTCTCTTTCCTGCAAACCCCACTTCCTTCTAGCACTGATGATGTTCCCTAGTTGGGTGATGAAACGTCTGCATGAAAGCAACCAAGCTCAGAGAGCACCAAGGACCCCACAGTTCCTCCTCCTCCTCCTCTTTCTCCTCTTCCTCCTCCTTCCTATCTCTCTTCTTCTCTTTCCCTTATTCTATTCCTCCTCCTTCTCCAATCTCACTCCCTTCTAGCACTGATGATGTTCCCTAGCTGGGCCACGAAACGTCTGCAAGAAAGCCACCAAGCTCAGAGAGCACCAAGGACCTCCCCCATTTCAACCCCGAGTTGCAAATATTATCCTCTATTGCTATCCCCAAAGATAAAGAAACCAGGCCTCCTGTGTCGACACGTACAAAGTGTGTACTTTAACCTCTCCTACGAGCAGTCACGTGGGTGGGTTAATGAAAGAGAAAGCGGTTATGATTAACTCTGCTATCCAAAGAGGTTTTGCCTGCGTTCTCAGTGAGCGCTTCGCCAAAAGGGACTTTCTATTGTCTCGTGCTCCTGCTTTGTGGCAGGACACAAAACTGGAACAAAAGAGACCCGAATGCAACCTAGCAAAAGGCAGGCAATTACCCCAAGGGGGTTTATGGCCCTTAAGTCAAGAACTAGCATATCATTGAATATGGGAGGGAGGAAAGAAGGAAAAAGAATAGGGAGGGAAGAAGGGAGGAAAAAGAGAATAGGGAGGGAAGGAGGGAGGGAGGGAGAGAAGAAGGGAGGAAGGAAGGAAAAAAACAGAGGGAGGGAGGAGGGAGGGAGGAAAAAGATTAGGGAGGGAGAAAGGGAGGGAGGGAGGGAGAGAGGAAGGAAGAAGAATAGGGAGTGGAGGGAGGGAGGAAAAAGAATAAGAAGGAAGGAAAAAGATTAGGGAGGGAGAAAGGGAGGGAGGGAGGGAGGAAGGAAAGAAGGAAAAAGAATAGGAAGGGAAGAAGGGAGGAAAAAGAGAATAGGGAGGGAAGGAGGGAGGGAGGGAGGAAAGAATGGAGGAAGGAAGGGAGGAAAAAACAGGGAGGGAGGGAGGGAGGAAAAAAATAGGAAGGGAGGAAAAAGATTAGGGAGGGAGAAAGAGAGGGAGGGAGAGAGGAAGGAAGGAAGGAAGGAAGAATAGGGAGGGCAGGGAGAGAGGAAGGGAGGAAAAAGAATAGGAAGGAAAAATATTAGAGAGGGAGAAAGGGAGAGAGGGAGGAAAGAAGGAAAAAATAGGAAGGGAAGAAGGGAGGAAAAAGAATAGGGAGGGAAGGAGGGAGGGAGGGAGGAAAGAATGGAGGAAGGAAGGAAAAAACAGGGAGGGAGGAGGGAGGAAAAAATAGGAAGGGAGGAAAAAGATTAGGGAGGGAGAAAGGGAGGGAGAGAGGAAGGAAGGAAGGAAGAATAAAGGGGGGAGGGAGGGAGGAAAAAGAATAGGAAGAAAAAAGATTAGAAAGGGAGAAAGGGAGGGAGGGAGAGAAGAAGGAAAGAAGGAAAAAGAATAGGAAGGGAAGAAGGGAGGAAAAAGAGAATAGGGGGAAGGAGGGAGGGAAGGAGGAAAGAAGAAAGGGAGGGAGGGAGATGAAGGATGGAAGGAAAAAGAATAGGGAGGGAGAAATGGAGGAAAGGGAGGGAGGAAAAAGAAAATAGGGAGGGAGAAAGGGAAGGAGAGAGGAAGGGAGGAAGGAATAAGAATAGCAAGGGAAGGAGGGAGAAAGGAGGGAAGGAAGGAAAAAAAGGAAGAAGTGACTAGAAACCAGAGCTTGCATTTCGCAGTTCAGAGAAGGAAGGAAGTGATTTGGGCTGGAGGAGGAAGCAGGATGATGTAATTTATTTAGCCCTTCACATCCGCCAGCACGAACTCCAGCCTTCATGATTTACAGATGCTTTACAAGTCCTTCACAGGCTCTACAGCTATGTTTACCAAAGCTGTAAAAACAGACAAACCTTCATTAAGAGGGGGAAACCTAGAAAGGGAAGTGTTCGAAACCACGTCCTGGGGAGGGGGGGGGGCTTGAAGCCAATCCCGTTCATCCAGAGGCCCAACGACATGGTTAAAATAAGAGGCCAGGAGGGGCTACCTTAGAAAGGAAAGGTGTTTTATTCCCCAAAGGTGTGTGTGTGTGTGTGAAACACCTCCTAGGACCCTCTACACTGGGGTGGGGGGGGGCTTTCACCGGGGTGGGGGGAAAACAATTGGAGATCTTCATTGAGGGGAATCTCTACCCCCTCTGCATGGAACCAAGCAACGATGGGGAAAGGCAGAAGGATGGCAGAGAAACGTGGGGGGCGGGGGATTCAGGATACTGGACTCTAATCAATACAATGAAATAAAATTAATTCATCATCATGAATTAATTAGGAGCAAAAAAACCAAAAGAAGCAAAGCACGAAGGGAGGCCGCCTTCCCACCGTGATCTCTTGCCTTTCAACCTCTCAACTCTGCATTCTGACGTGCGGAGGGGAGGATGGACCGTTTTTTTTAAGAAACCCAATTCCGCCAGGATGTGGTTTTCGCAGCTCCGTTTGAGCTCCGGCTGGCTTTAGGA